CAGGATGCCACATTCAGAGATTACTGAAATGGGAAAGGTGGCTGGATAATACCATTAATTTCATGCAGTCTTTTTTCTTTCACAACTCTGCAATAATTGATGATAATCCAATAGATTGTCGTCTCGTATTTAGTTTCTTACTCAGAACATCAAGTTTACTTATTATCACTACAGTTTAAGCCCAACAGCTGCAATGTAGTGGGACAAGAACGTGATTTGGAGTAAGAAGATGAAGCAGCGAATTCCACCCTGGTCACCTCTCACCTGGTGGTTCTGAGCAAAGGTTTAACCTCTCTGAGCCTCAGTTTTCTCATGTGAAAAAGGTTAGGTCCCATCTCACAGCCTTTTGGAGAAACTTAATTTAGAAGCCCTAAGTGAAATATTTTCACGTGACACGGCGTTCCTCAAACTCGAACACAGAATCACCCTGAGGTTAAAATGCCGGTTCTGATTCCGAAGGCCCGCGTGGGTCCTAAATCGTGAAGCTTCCAGGCGAGGCCAGAGCTGCTGCTCGGTTGCTGGCTTCCTCGGGAGCTGACCAGCAGTGTCGGATCCTGTGCCCCACCCAGTACCTGCCTTCTGACAGGCTCTCCAGGTAATCTGTATAAATACTAACCTTTGAGCCTCACTGATCCAGCACCAGACCTCGCACATGGCAGATGCTTGGTTAAAATATGTTTTGAATCATCACAGAAGTATGCAGGATATAGATAGATAGGTGTAACATCATTCCTACTCAAAATTGGATTTGAATGCTACTCAGTGTCCATCTTGCCTAGGTGTTGCTTTAAGCCAAAGCGTGGCCTCACCCCAGGTCAGGCTTATACTCTGACCGCTTCTCAGTTAACAGTTGTTTCAGTAGAAATCTGCATTGTCAGATACCTTTGTCATCGTTTCATCCCCCAAATCTCAGGTTTTAAGTATTTTATGTAGAATCTACATTTGCTCACTAAAATCTAAGTCGTTTCCCTGTATGTGTTTGTCAGAGATTTCTCGTTCAAGCTGTCAGCAACATGATATAAACCAAGTTGACACACCAAATCAATATAGTTCAAGCCAAAGCAAAGATGATTGACGCTTGCATTAGCCTATACTGTTGTATTTGGGGTATGTGAATCAAATTAATACCTAAGAAGATTCTTAGGGAAATTGGGGCTCTCAAATTAGGAAACAAGTTTAGAAGCCTAGTTGATGGTAGCAACCAGTTTTAAGAGATTGGAGCCCAGATTGTAAATCAGTCAGAAACATGTAAAAATGTATTTTGAGATTTCAGCTAATATACCATTAACCTGATGAACCCATTAATTTTTAAATAAATCACTGCTTTTAGTAATAGATCAACTTTTCTATTCATTTTGTCTGCATTATTGTTTCTGTCTGAAACCTGTAAGGTATTGATTTCTAATCCACACTTCACAGTGCATAGTAAAAACACGAGGATCAAACGGGAACCGTAGTATTTTCATCTGTGTAAGAGAATTATTTTCTTTCCTGAAGGTCTTCTCTTTCTTGCAAATGCCCTGAAGTTTGGTGTTTCTTATAGAGCAGATTTGCCAGTGAAAAATTCTCTCTCTCTTTTGTTTTTCATTTTTGTTTGTTTATCTAGGATTATCTGTATTTCTCCTCCATTTTTGAAGCATGGGCATGCTGGAAATAGAATTCTAACTTAAGAGTATTTCTTTCAGCATTTTGGATTTTGTCTCTGGCGATGAGAACTGAAGAGAAACCAGCTGTTCATTGAGGATCCTTGTACACAAGCTGCTTCTTTCTTGGGCTTTCAAGGTTCTCTCTTTGTTTTTGGTTTAAGACAGTTTGACAATGATGGTTCTAGGTGTGGACCTTTTAGAATTTACCTTGCTTGGAATTTGCTGATCTTCTTGGAGGTGTAGATTCATGATTTACATTAAATTGTGATGATCCTAGGAACTGTTTAAAAAATTTTTTTTGCCTTTACTGATTTTAGAGAAAGAGGAAGTGAGAGGGAGAGAGAGATAGAAACATCAGTGAGAGAGAACATCGACTGGCCGCCTCCCGCATAATCCCCACTGGGGATCAGGCTCACAACCTGGGCATGTGCCCTGACTGGGAATTGAACCAGCGACCTCTTGGTGCATGGGTTGACGCTCAACCACTGAGCCACACTGGCCGCACCCAGCAACTATATTTTAAAATATTCTTTCTGGCCTGGCTGGTGTGGCTCAGTGGTTGAGCATCGACCCATGCACCAAAAGGTCTCTGGTTCAATTCCCGGTCAGGGCACATCTCTCTCCCCTTCTCCCTTCCTCTCTGTCTAAAATCAATAAGGGAAAAAACATTAAAAAAATAATAAATAAAAATAAAATATTCTTTCTGTTGAATTCTCATTTTACTCTTCTTCTTGAGACTACCATTATGCATATGCTGATATACTTAATGGTGTCCCACAGGTCTCTGAGGCTCAGTTCATTTTTCTTCATTCTTTTGCCTGTTCTCAGATTGAATAGCCTTGGTTGACATATCTTCAGATATTCCTTCTTCTGCCTGTTCAAATCTGCTGTTGATCCTTTTAATGATTTTTTTTTTTCTTTTAGTTATTGTAGTTTTCATCTCCAGACAATTTACTGGTTCCTTTTTATGCTTTCTATCTCTTGATTGATAGTCTCTGTTTGGTAAGATCGTTCTTACTTTTCTTTGGTTTCTTTAAATATGATTTCCTTTAGTTATTAGAACACATTAAAAAAATCTTATTTAAAGTCTTTGTCTGGTGAATACCATGTCTGGGCTTCCTTGGAATCTCTCCTTTTTTCTGTTATATGGGCCATATTTTTTATTCTTTGCATGTCTTATAAATATTTTGGTTGAAAACTGGACATTTTATATAATGTGAATACTCTGGCCCTGGCCGGTTTGGCTCAGCGGTTGGAGCATCGGCCTGCGGACTAGAGAGTCCTGGGTTCGGTTCCTGCTAAGGGGCACTTACCAAAAATAAATGAATAAATAAATAATGTAAATACTCTGGATGAGAGTCTTTCCCTCTCAGGATTTGTTGTTGTTTGCCTGTTTAGTGACTTTTCTGGACTAATTTTATAAAGCCTATATTTCTTGCCATATGTGTTCACTCAAGTTTCTACTTGGTTTTTTTAGTTGTGAGCTAATGATTGGCAAGGTTTTTCTTAAAGGCCTAGAGCCAGTAAGTCTTCCACTTTTTACCCAGGGGCTCTGTGTGCATGTCAAGGCAAACCTTTAACACTCAGCCAGGCAGCTAACAATTCTGCCTTAGGTCTCAGTTCTTGCTTGTGCAGAGCCACAAAACCAGCCAGAGGTGAGAGACCAGGGACTCCTAATTCTTTCCTGAGCACGTACCCAGCCCCGGGCATGCACACAATCTTCAGCATGCGTGTAATCTTCTGGACGCAAACAAATATACCAGTGCTTCTCTTCCCATGGAAATCTCATTTCTCTGATTTTTTTTTTTAAGCTTTTTTGGTTAACCTATTTGTTCCAATTATTACCTGCTATTTTAGGCAACCATGATGTTAAACAAAAAAAGCCCCCATTATATTTGACAAGTGCTTCTGAGGAAAATGGTGTTCACACTGGTCACATATCTAATCCGATAAAATGAAGACAAGCATCATTAGTGGGATCTTCCAAGAAACCGCTAAATAGGTCAAACCATGACAATACTTTAAGCATGGAACTTTGAAGGAGATCTGACCCTGTCTGCCTATGCCAGGGGCTTCCAGACTGCGGGTCCCCTCTGTGATTGTGGGCTGTTGGTTTCGAGGCCAATGCAAAGCTGGGAGAGAAAGATGGGAAGAGGGGAAGTTAAAACACCACAGAGCTTGCTGTTCTTCCTGAGATTCAACCATTTTTCTTAAATGAACACACTCCAGCCCTGGCCGGTTTGGCTCAGCGGTTAAATGAACACACTCCAGATTGCGCTAAGCCTTTAGTTAATTTCCAGATTTCTAAAAGATGTTGATTCAGAACATTTTTGTCAGTTGCTTTTATGAAGGGGAGGATTTCTGGAGGTCCTTATTACACCATTCTGGCGGATGCCTCTTAAAGTGCCCTGAAGCTTTTGAACAGTGAACAAAAGTCATGTGGGACTTTATTGTCTCCATACAGTAGAAAGACTGACCATATATCCATTAGTGATCATAATGGTTTCCACTTAGACGAGCCACTAAAATATCTTGATAGTTTGAGGCAATTATCAGATGAGAGGTTAGAGCAACGTCCTCTGAGGAATATTTCTCATAAATAAATGTCAAACTTGCAAGAAATATTGTAAAATGAGTAAGAACCTGGTCTTTAGAATAAGCTAACTCTGGGTTCAAGCCCTGAGCTTGCTCTTTAATAGCTCTGTGACCTTAGTCAAGTTACCTAAAATTTATAGTACAATGATAATAACTACCTATTCATAGATTTATTTTAAAATCCAACTAAACTAACAAAAATAATGTGCTTGACACATAGTAAATGCACAAGAACTTTTAGCTTCTATTGCTGTTATCATCAAGAATATAGTTCAGCATTGCTAATAATAATGCTGAATGTTCACCTGAATGTGGTCCTTTAAGAGTCACTTTCAAAATGGGAAATAAATCAAAACTATTTCACTCACATGGCAGGACCTGGAGAGTATTACGCTAAGTGAAATAAGCCCATCAGAGAAAGACAATATCACATGATCTCCCTTATTTGTGGAATATAATGAACAAAATAAGCTGATGAACAAAATAGACACACAGAAAGTAGTATGGTTCAGACTGACAAAGCTCAGAGGAGGGGGGCGGGGGGCAGGGATTAGATTAACCAGAGAACTTATATGCATGTATGCATAACCAGTGGACATAGACAACAATGCTGGGGGTGGGAGGATCAGGAGGAGGGTGTCTAGGGGTGAAGAAGGAGAAACATCTGTAACAAAAATAAATTAATAAAAATAAAATAAGATAAAAGCAAAAAAAAAAAACTATTTCACTCATACAACTTTGTTTTCTGTGTAATTCCAGGCACCGTGGTGGTCCAGCAATTGATGTCAATGATGATTAGCAAACATGATCGCCTTTTCCCCAAAGATACGGACTTGCAAAGCAAGCCCCAAGACGGAGTGAGCAACAACAACAACGAAGTTCCGAAGAAAATCACCATGGGTCAGCTACAGAACAAAGAGAACAACAATACCAAGGACAGTCCTGTCAGGCGATGCTCGTGGGAGAAGCCTGAGTCTCCCCAGAAAAGCAGCCTAGATAATGGATCCCCCACAGCTCTGTCAGGTAGCAAAACTAACAGCCCAAGAAACAGTGTTCACAAGCCAGATGTCTCCAGGAGCCCCCCTCTCATGGTAAAAAAGAACCCCGCCTTCAATAAGGGCAGCGGGATTGTCACCAATGGGTCCTTCAGCAGCAGTAATGCAGAAGGTCTTGAGAAAACTCAAACCACTCCCAATGGGAGCTTACAGGCCAGAAGGACCTCTTCACTGAAGGGGTCTGGTACCAAAATGGGCACCCAGAGTGTGCAGAACGGAACGGTGCGAATGGGCATTTTAAACACCGACTCACTTGGGAACCCCATGAATGGTCGCAGCATGACCTGGCTGCCCAATGGCTGTGTGACCCTGAGGGATAACAAGCAGAAAGAGCAGACAGGAGAGTCAGGCCAGCACAACAGGCTGTCCACCTACGATAACGTCCATCAGCAGTTCTCCATGATGAACCTCGATGACAAGCAGAGTGTTGACAGCGCCACCTGGTCCACTTCCTCCTGCGAAATCTCCCTCCCCGAGAACTCCAACTCCTGTCGCTCCTCCACCACCACCTGCCCAGAGCAAGACTTTTATGGCGGGAACTTTGAGGACCCTGTTTTGGACGGGCCCCCGCAGGACGATCTTTCCCACCCTGGGGACTATGAAAACAAAAGTGACCGGAGGAGTGTGGGAGGTCGCAGTAGCCGTGCCACCAGCAGCAGCGACAACAGTGAGACGTTTGTGGGCAACAGCAGCAGCAACCACAGCGCACTGCACAGCTTAGTGTCCAGCCTGAAGCAGGAAATGACCAAGCAGAAGATAGAGTATGAGTCCAAGATAAAGAGGTGAGGAGAATCTGGGGCTCGTAACAGCCAGAGAGCCCCCTACTGGGGACACGCTCACACAGAGGGTCAACTATGCTAGTTCCAGAGCCAGAGTCCCCTAGTCAAGTCCTACCTTCACCATTTGTAGGCTGTGGGATTTGCAGGAAGTTCACTTTATCTCTGTAAGCCTTGGTTTTTTTTATGTAACATCTTTAAATACTAGTAGTCTTTACCTCAAAAGCATGTAAGAAATTATTGAGCGTTGCCTGGCTGGTGTGGCTCAGTGGTTGAGCATTGTCTTGTGCACCAGGAGGTCATCAGTTCAGTTCCCGGTGAGGACACGTGCTCGGGTTGCGGGCTCCATCCCCAATAGGGGGTGTACAGGAGGCAGCCGGTCAGTGTTTCTCTCTCATCAGTTTTTTCTCTCTCCCTCTCCTTCCTTTCTCTGGCATCAACAAAAACATATGTTTAAAAAGTAAATCATTGAGCATTGTCCCTGCCTGGAAGAGGCGTTTGCTTAGAGACACTGTGGATTTGAGCTAGAGGCTGGCCACAGAGGAGCTGTGAGGGGATGAATGGAGGACAAGAGCCTGTTTTCACTGACAGGAAAAGGATGAAATGAGGGTAAAGGAAAGTTGTAGAAATAAACAGACCTTTTTATCACATTCTTTCCATTTTTGAATGCCTTGAGAGTGTCTTCTATCCATCCGCAGTGAATACAACACATGTAAACTCAGCCCTCATGGAACACGCTGTCGTTGTCCTGGAGAATAGAGATAAACGAGTGACAGGTCCTGTGCGGAGGTGAAGACTGAAGCTGGAACAGGGGGAAGAAGGGTGGCGAGGCTGGTTTTCAGTGTAGGGCTCGTGGCAGGTTGGAGGGGAAGCTGTGCAGACACTCGGGAGAGAAGCAAATGGCAGTGCTGAGAGGTGGGCTGGGCAAGGGGGTCAGGGAGGTAACAGGGACCGGGGGACAGGACCTTGGGGATCAGAGTAAGTCTTTAGCTTTTAGTCTGAGATTGGAATCCATGAAAGTTTTTGAGAAAGGTGTTGGCACAAAGTGGATTCATATAGACAAGGGAAGTTGTAGCCCAAATAGAAAGCAAAACCTAGGATTGATAAGGAAACAGCTATGCTAAAACCGAATTTATGTCAGTTTTCACTTTCTCATAAGATGACCAAGGTAAGAAGAATTCTGCTTAGGAAAGCAACCCCGGCGAGATAAGGGCATTGGCTGAGTGTCGTGTTTCCTGACCGTCAGATCGTCCGCTGACCAGGGAGGCAGGGGTTCGGAGAATGGAGCCCAGGACTCGCAAATATAATCTTGTTCTGGAAACCTAAAAGTTATCACACCCACATGTCACTGGGTGGCAGAAATGGCAAAACTGATTATGTTCTCTTTCAGCTTAGTGTAGGGACAGAACACTGAGCTCCCGAGTCAGGGGAAGGCCTGAGGCTGAGTGCAGGGGCCCCTCTAGTGGCTCAGCCCCAGGCTCCGGCGTGCGGGGTGGCCCTCTCCTGGCTGGCGGTCCCAGGACCCTTATCAGTGGTGGACACCAGTCTTTGTCCTACTTCAACTACTTCCATGGCTCCCAACCACATGGTTTCTTTTTTATATATAAACCTGACTTTATTTTACTGTTTCCCATCCATTTATCAGTCATCAGGCCAAAAGACACATATTTTCAAGAGCTATGGTAGAGTAAATATGAAGTAAAATGCTATTTGTACGTTAGGTTGAAATAAACTACTTCAGAAAGTCGTTTTTGTAAACTTTGCTGAATGGAAACTTGGTTTGAATTTTTCTATCTCATGTCGAGTGACAGGAGGTTTGAATAAGTAAAATGGTGTCATCATCTTATAAGGTTGCTCCCTCCTTCTGAACGTGGTGTTTAGGGCCACTCGGAGTTGCTGCGGGTACATGGTGATAAAGGAACACTCAGCGCTGGGAAACCGGGTGACCGTGGAAACTTGCGTTAGGTTAGGGAATAAGTTCTCATTCGGAATGGCTGCAGGTGGACATATCCACTTGTGACCACGCTGGTGGCACATTTATGTTCAGAGTCTATGGTGCATTTCAGAGATTTTGATAAAAATAATAGAACTTTGCAACATTTCTCTTCCACATTTCTCTTTCAAGTTCTTTTCAACTCCACCCACAGGTGTTTAGGTTAGATAGATAGGTGATATGACCTGCGTAGCTCAGTAGATGACAGATAAAATAGATGCTATTTTACTTTGCTTTTCAGTCATTGATATGTTTTTAAGTTTTTAAACATGTAAGTTTAGTGTTCTCCACCCCCCCATATATTTCTTCCTTTATTCTATTATAGTCAGAGAAATTTATTTTTATGATATCAATTATTTATTCTTATAAAACTATTTATTCTTTTATGATTGATTTGAGTTTTATATAGAACCAATAGATCAAGTCTATTAATCAAGCTGGTTAAATCTTTTACATTTCTCCTAATTTTTATCAGATACATCTATAATTTCTAACAAAGGTAACAAACACTCCTAATTTTTATGGATTTATCAATTTCTCCTATAATTCTGTTATATTTTATATTGACTAATTTGAGACTATACTGCTAGGTGAATAAAAGTTCATAATTATTTATATGTTCCTCATGAATTGATTCTTTTATTATTAAGTAATAGTCATCTTTAATTGTAACAATGCATTTTGCCTATAAGTCTATTTTTTCTGATATTAACCTTGCTATACTACTATTATGATTACTAACTTTCTGCTATATCTTTTCCATTAACTTTCAAATTTTATATTTATTTGATCTGAGGACTTATATATTTTTCAATTCTGGAATATTTTTATCTGTCGCCTTTTTGTAAACATTTCATCTCCCCCATTTTCTCAATTTCCTGTTTCTCTAACCTTTATTAAAAAGTATGTTGGATCTTCTTAATCCGTGCTCTAGCTCTGTTAACTTCTCTTCTCATATTAAAGTTCTATCTTTCTCATTCTGTGAGGCAGTCTGGGTAATTTTTCTCACACCGGTTTTCCAATTCACTAATTTTTTTCTTTTTTTATGATTTATTTTTAATTATAGTTACTATACAATATAATACTATTTTCAGGTGTACAACATAGTGATGCAACATTTACATACTGTACGAAGTGATCACCACAGTAAGTCTAGTAACTATCTGTCACAATACATGGTATTATATTATTGACTATATTTCCTATGTTTTACTTTGCATTCCTGTGACTTATTTTATAACTGGAAGTTTGTACTTCTTAATTCTGTTCCCCCTTTTTCTCAGCTCCAACTCCCCTCCCCTCAGAAAACTATCAGTTTGTTCTCGTTTGAGTTTGTCTCTGTTTCATTTTGTTTGTTCAATTGTTTTGTTTTTACATTCTACATATGAGTAAAATCATGTGGTATTTGTCTCTGTCTGACTTATTTCACTTAACATATACTCTCTAAGTTCATCTTGTTGAAAATGGCAAGATTTCAATCTTTTTTCATGGCTGAGTCATATTCCATTATACATATGTACCACAGCTTCTTTATCCATTCATCTATTGATGGACATCTACCTTGATTTCATATCTTAGCAATTGTAAATAATGCTGCAGTGAACCTAAGGGTGTGTATGTCTTTTCTAATTATTATTTTTGTTTTCTTCAGATAAATATCCACAAGTAGAATTGCTGTGTCATAATTATATTTTTAATTTTTTGAGAAATCTCCATACTCTTTCCCAGAGTGACTGCACCTGATTTATAATCCCACCAACAATACACAAACCTTCCCTTTCCTCTACACCCTCACCAGCACTTGTTATTTGTTGACTTTTTGATAGTAGCCATTCCATAGGTGTGAGGTGATAGCTCTGTGGTTTTTATTTGCGTCTCCCTGATGATTAGTGATGCTGGTCCATTTTTCAGGTGTCTGCTGGCCACCTATACATCTTCTTTGGAGAAATGTTTATTCAGTTTCTCTGCCTATTCTTAATTCGATTATTTGCTTTTCTGATGTTGAATTATATGAGTTTTTATATATTTTAGATATTAACCCCTTCTTGGATATTATTTGCAAATATTTTTCCCATTCAGTGGGTTGTCTTTTATTCTTGTTGATAGCTTTCTTCACTCTGCAAAACCTTTTAAGTTTGATGTAGTTCCTTTTATTTATTTTTGTTTATGTTGCCTTTGCCTGAGGAGACATATCCAAAAATATCTAGCTTAAGAATTACCTTTTCTTTCTTCTGCCGATTCAATTCTGACATGTCACTCAACCCATGAGTGGAGTTTTTGTGGTCCCTGCTTTATAAAGATAACTGATGTTATACGTTCTCAGCTGAATGACCTTCAGCGTTCTTCCTCTCATACTGGAGACTTCTCCCCCTTGTGAAAAGTAAGAAACTAGCTCCTGCCTCGGGCCTCAATCCAGATCAATATCCTTTGTGTGCTTCCATTTACTGTTCTAAATTGAAGTGTCTTCCTCGGTTATGATACTTGAAGATGCTCTTTTATTTCTTTTAACCTTGGCTCTGTATTTTTAAAATTTTCATGTATTTTTCTAGCATCACTCTGTGTGTGTAGTGGGAGGGGTTCCCTTCCGTATTCCAGTCGTTAGTGTCCTGGAAGTTTCCTACAAGTTCCCAGTACAGATCTTGTATCAGTATGTTGTAAGGATTGCCTTCCTTGGTATTCATGCTTGAGTTTCTTTCAGCATTTTTGGTTCTAAAATAAATAGCTTTAGAAAGCAGAAAGAATATATTGTTGAATAATTCTGGGTTGCACACTGCCAGGTTGTCATATAAAAATGTGGTCATATGATCAAAACAGCCTTCTAAACAGATTACAGAATATGAAGAATGGTTTTTGAATCCTGGTTACTTTCAAAAGGAGAGATTTATTTTTAAGTATTATTATTTTATCTGGATGAAATATCAACATATGGGACTTGATTTGAAACAGAAAAACAATTGAGATTTTAAATGTGAAAATTGTTATTAAAAAGATTTCTGAGCCCTGGCCGGTTTGGCTCAGTGGTTAGAGCATTGGCCTGCAGTCCAGAGAGACCTGGGTTCGGTTCCCGCTAAGGGCGCGTACCTCAGTTGCAGTTTGTCCCCGGCCCTGGTTGGGTTGTGAGGGTGGCAACCACTCGATGTGTCCCTTTCGTGTCGATGTTTCTCTCTCTCTCTCTCTCTCTCTCTCTCTCTCTCTCTCTCTCTCTCCCCCCCACTCTATCTGAACAAAATATCAAAAAAAAGAAAAAAAAAAGATTTCTGAAATTCAAATTTCAGCGGTATAGTAACTTTAAATATGCCCCGGGGATATTAGCTCAGAATGGGAGACATGTGGATGGGGAGAAGATTAACCAAATAACTTATATACATATATGCATAACCCATGGGACAGGGACGATAGTATGGTGAAGTCCTGGAGGGGTGGCGGGAGTGGAGTGGAGGGGACAATAGGAGAAAAAAGCGGGGAGGGCACATCTGTAATACTTTAAACAATAAGGGTAAATTTTTAAAAAATGAAAAGGAGACATCAAAAGTCAACTGTGATTATGATTCATCTTATAATTAACAAATGCTTAATACTCCTCTTTGAATAGCAACAAAATATATTTGGAACTTAGTGATTATGGAGAAAACTCTGTTTTCAAGAAAGTTATCTAAAATTATGCCATTATCCAAAAGGATATAGCTATCAATCTATAGAAATATAAAGCTAGAGATTGTAAGATATATTAACTTGGAAAGCAGCGAGAATTACAGATAGCAGGTTACTGTCACAAAACGACAGGTGAATGACTTATTCACCACGTGTAATCTCCAGCACTCTTGTCTATGGAAGGTGGCTACTTTTGGTACCACTTTGGTAAGATGGGAATTCTTGTGTCTCAGAGAAGTTCATTCTCAGCCGTGGGCTTTATCTAACAATGACATTTTCACTAGCGTTACTTTTCCTCTGTTAGAAAGCACATAGGATTACTCCCTTGTCTTCTAACTTTATTGGACTTTCCCCCCTTCTCTTAGTAAAGCCCAGTTTACAGTCAGTGATCCAGGGAGCCTTGTGGTTTGGGCTGCCTCCCGCTCTGCCATTCTGTGCTATGTGGCATTGGTTCCCTGACTCCTCTGTGCCAACATTTGTACATTCACTATCAAATAACAACTCAGTGCTTCTAAGGGAGGTCTTGGGGTCTTCTTGTTAAAACAATAGTAAATCATCTTAGCAAATACTTAAAAAAAAAAAAAAAGCCTTTCAAATCAGTGGACCTTGCTTTACTGATTTGAAAGGGCTCATTCCAGTTTCCTAAGCATTTGGAGACAGAGTTTGGAAAATATCTGTACCCCTCTCACACTGCAAGGGAATCAAATCACTTTATCTTTTCTTCCCTCCCCCACCCTTTGCAGCTTAGAGCAGCGAAACTTGACGTTGGAAACAGAAATGATGAGCCTCCACGATGAACTGGATCAGGAGAGGAAAAAGTTCACGATGATAGAGATCAAAATGCGAAATGCAGAGCGAGCGAAAGAAGACGCTGAGAAAAGAAATGACATGCTTCAGAAAGAAATGGAGCAGTTTTTTTCCACGTTTGGGGAGCTGACCGTGGAGCCCAGGAGAACCGAGAGAGGAAACACGATATGGATCCAGTGAGCCTTCTCCTGCTGTCTCTGGTGGATTGGGGAAGGACTCGTGGGTTCCTGTGGGATCAGGTGGCGGGTCACCTGGCTGTACAGTGCTAACTGGTGAAGGAATATCATTTACAGACATTACCCATCCATATCTGCAACGTGTACCAAAGTTATATCATGCCCATATGCTACTGTCAAGTGTTACAACTGGATATGTGTATATAGAGTAGTTTTTAAAAAGTAAAGTAAAAATGAGAAGCATATCTCAAGAATTATTTTATTGCAAGTCTTGTATTTAAAATGTTAATTCAATATGTTGTTGCAATTTAGCTTGCTTTCAAGCTTCACCCTTGCACTTAACATAAGCTATTTTTGGCATTGTGTTATCATCAGCTTATTTTATAGATCAATATTTTTATTTCCCTTTTTGCTGAGGAAATGAAGATAAGCAGATATATAAAAATATAAATATATATAAGATGAGTTATTAAAATCAAAAGAATACTTTGTGGCTGTGCTGTTTGTGCCAATAGACCTTACCATGACCAAAACGAGAAATGTAAAGCATTTTATAAAATACAGTAGAATCACCAGGAACCTCTGAACTGCTCTTTTAATTCTTCCCTTGACACTGCTCAGTTTTCTTTGTGATGATTCACATGGGAAATTTGGAACCGTGTAAAAAGTCCCCTGGTCTGGCTGGCCAGTTCCACAGATGCCTGTCTGCTGTGCAGGATGTACCTCAGAGCGGGGTGTGCAGCAAAGAAAAACATCTAACCAGCCATGCCTTGAGTCACTGTGTCCTGGAAGTCTTCCTGACATTGAAGAATTGGGAAACAATGCTTAAACCTGCCCCCCAACCCCCGCAGTGCCATTTCCTGAGCACCTGCCTTCTGGCTCAGCCCTCTCCCTGCCCCCAGGATGCTGCACCTGGGATGCAGGCAGTGAATTAGCAGCCGTGCGTCCCTGTGCCTCTCGGGTAAACTGCCCGAGTGTGCGCCACAAAGTGACATTTCTCTCGCTCAGGCCGGCTGTTCTGTTGTCCTCTGGGATCTCCTCTGAAGGACACAGCAGGCAAAGGCTTTTGCAGCAAGAGAGAGGTGACGGAGGGAAAGGGGACCAGGAGGAGGAGGAGACAGAAGAAACAAACTAGTTGATTTGCTTCTGATTTTTACATTGTTGTTCTTCCCTGTTGGAAACATAATCATCCACAATAGTTTTACAATGTGAATGCTTAAAGGTCCAATGTCAATGAATTTGTGAACATGAGTAATGATAACTTTCTAGAGAAGCTCAGGTTTCTCGGGAGCTAGAGTTTGGGGAGAACAGCTCTCCATCAACAAGACGGTGCTTTAAAGAAGCCAAACAAGCCCTGGCCGGTTTGACTCCGCAGTTAGAGCGTTGGCCAGCAGACCAGGGAGTCCTGAGGTCCTGAGTCTGGTTCCTGCTAAGGCATGTACCTCCCTTGCAGTTTGTCCCTGGCCCCGGATGATGATGGGGTCGTGTGGGTGGCAACCAGTCGATGTGTGTCTCTCACATCGATGTTTCTCTCTCTCTCTTCCTCCCTCTTTCCCTCCCGTTCTATCTGAAGATGAATGCAAAAATGTCCTCAAGTGAGGAATATATATATATATATATATATATATATGCCAAACAAATAAATCTTTCTCACATGAAAACAAAAAATCACTTTTAAAGACATAATCAGAAATAAATACCACTAGAGTTGATGGGATTTGTGTTTGAAGGTTCTGTGTTTGTGTGTGTTTATTTTTTTCAACTGGGAGAGCAGTCGTGACAGCATTCAATCTTGTCACCATGCAGCTTTGTTTACACCCTTCAAGAGTCAAGCTTACATGGTCCCTTAGTATCCACCACCATCTACATAGCAATGCCTTTTTAACTTCAGTTCCCTTTTCTCTGTCCTTCTGATTCTTTAACCAGCTACTTCTACCCGGACATCCTATAAGAAATTCAAACTCAAAATGCGCAAAATTGCCTGGCTGGTGTGGCCCAGTGGACTGAGTGTCATCCCAAGGACTGAGAGGTCCCGTTCAATTCCTGGTCAGAGCACATGCCCAGGTTGTGAGCTTGATCCCCAGTAGAGGGTGTGCAGGAGGCAGCTGATTGATGTTTCTCTCTCACATCAATGTTTCTATCTCCCTCTCCCTTCCTTTCTCTTTAAAAGAAAAAAAAAATCACTAAAAAATATTATTTTAAAAATGTGCAATAGTGAATAGCAAAGTGTGTATAGTCAGACTGCCCGCTTCAAATTTTCTACAATTTGCTGGCTATTAACTGAATCTCCCAGGCATTGCTTTTTCCATCTGTGGAATGGGAATAATTAAAATACTATTCTCGTAGACTCACTACATGATTTCAATGAGGCAGCTTGTGTGAAGGCTGAGCACAGCGCCTAGTATACAGAAAGGACCCCATAAATTTCATTCTTACTTTCTCTACTCTGCTCTCTTCTTCACCTTTAAGTACTGTCTATTCCACTCATCCTCTTTGATCGATTCTCACCTTTAGATGAAAGCTTCTTACCTAGCCACTTACGTTCCAGTATCTTTCCTCTCCTTTCGTCTTCTGCCAGCTGCCGTGTGACCACACCATGGCTGCCCGATGATGCTCCTCTCCCACAGGATCACGTCCTCCGCGCAGTGTGTCAGGCGCTGACCTGCAGTTTCATTGGCACCTCCTCCCACCTCCCCAACTCCTGCCTGTCGTTCTGTGCCTCTGGAACTTCCCCTGCTGTTGCTGTGTCCGTCTTGACGGCCTTCCTTCAATCTGGCGCACTCCCATCATCCGGTTTTAGAGCCAAATCCAGTATCAGCTCCCTGGGAGATTTCCTAGGATCTCAATACAGTCAGCTCCTTTCTTTCTCCTGATCTGTATACGTCTTCTAGCCTTTCCCACATCTGATTCTTTTCTTCACTAAATAAGAAACACTTTAGGAAGCAGCATGGTGAAATGAAAAAAATTGCAGGGAAGTGAGAGCCAGACAAAGATAGGAATCTCAACATGCCTCAGTGTTGTTCATCTGTGAGGTGGAGACAGCACCTGCAAGGTAGGGGCGTTGAGACACAGGCGCCTATCCAGCGCCGCCACTTGGCTTCACTGCAGCTCTGTCAATCTGGAGCCTCTTACATACCAGGATTGTATCTTACTGCTTCTTAAATCCTCACCCTCCACCCTTTAGGTTGTAAAGTGCTAGCACAGAGAGTTAGCAATGCATTTGGAGAGTTAGCAAGTTATGGGGCATGTGGTTATTAATTTTAATTATCAGTTTCTGTGATGATGACCTCCCATCAGTGGACACTGTGAGAGCTTGTTCATTTGGGTTTCTATTAGTTCTTCTAGTAATTAAGCTAAAAGCCTAAAAAATACCAACTACAAATTGACATAAGAATAACTTGGAGCCCTGGCCAGTTTGGCTCAGCGGTTAGAGTGTCGGCCTGCGGTCCGGAGAGACCTGGGTTCGGTTCCCGCTAAGGGCACGTACTTCGGTTGCAGCTTGTCCCCGGCCCTGGTTGGTCGTGCGGGTGGCAGCCACTCGATGTGTCCCTTCACGTCGATGTTTCTCTCTCTCTCTCCCGTCCTCTCTCTCCCTCCCACTCTATCTGTACAAAAAATGGAAAAATATCCTCGGGTAAGGATAAAAAAACAAACAAACAAAGAATAACTTGGAAATAAGTACTTAGCTAGTATTAAGAATTCATTTGCTACATCTTGTATACGCTTCTTTAAAACTATTTAGATTAACTACAATAATTCTTTTTTTCTTTTTAATCCTCACCTGAGGATATGCTTTTTCATTGATTCTACAGAGAGAGGAAGGGAGAGAGAGAGAAACATCAACTGGTTGCCTCATGCACAGACCCTGACAAGGGATCAAACCTGCTACTTGGGTAAATGCCCTAACTGGGAATTGAACCTACCACCCTTTGGTGCTCGGGATGGTGCTCTAATCACTTAGACCACTGGCCAGGGCAGTTAATTACAATAATTCTTAAATTATGGGCTCAGAAGAAAGGACTTGCTTACATCTTGAGTCTATAATATTGGTCTTACTAGTGAAACTATAGGGCTGGGTATCCTTTAGAGAATTTTTAAAATAGAATTGACTACTTGAGGCTAATTCAAGTGCAGCTTTTATATGTAATTTTATTATGAAATTGACTAAAGACTCCAAGTGGAATTTAAATAATGTCATTCCTATTCATTTTTATTTATTCACAAGCTGAGGCCTCCTTTAAAAAATTAGATTATTCGAAGGTGGGAAAGTTTAAATCACTAGTATAATGATCTCACCTTGGAAATCAGGAAAACATTAAAGACTGTGATGCCGGCCATGAGCCCAGTGTTCCTGCCACTACAGAGCTGCACCTGCTTCGGGGAGCATCATAGAAAAGAATATGCACGAGCTTTTGGAGGCAGAGGCCCGATTCCAATCTCAGCTCTGCCACTTTGTGGCTATATAGTAACTCACAAAGTGTTGCATAATGTTTGCAAGCCTTAATTTTTTATATAAAATACAGACAATAATAGCATCTTTCCCTCACTGGAATTTTGTTCTTTGTTTTTTTGAGAAGTGAATAAGATGAGTGACATAATTAATACAATACGTGGTGTATAGTAAGTGCTCAATAAATGGTGGCGTTGACCCTCAAATTACTTTTATGGAAAAGGTGTTTTAGCTTCTAAAGAACATAACAGGGTTCTGGCCTGAGGAGTTTGGCCAACAGTCAAAGACTAGCATGCTCACCAGCAGAAGGTATAATTATGTCCCTGTCCCAGGAACTCTGATTTTCTTTTTGCCCAGATAATCTTCCAGAGATTGATGGCAAGGAAGAGGCAACCTAAAGCATCCTTTCTATGCTGAGATAACACAGTTGAATCCATGATATGAGAATAATTTATAAAGAACTACCTATAATTATCCTATATCAACCCTGTTCATGTAGACACTGAGGATGATGTTGGGTATTAAAACTCCTGGGTGAGCCCAGCCGGTGTGGCTCAGTGGACTGAGCATCGTCCTATGGACTGGAAGGTCCCAGTTCAATTTCCAGTCAGGGCACATGCCCAGGTTGTGAGCTCAATCCCCACTAGGGGGTGTCCAGCAGGCAGCAGATTGATGTTTCATTCTCACATTGATCTTTCTCTCTCTCTCTTCCTTCCTCTGTCTCTAAAAAATCAATAAAAGTATTGGGTGATGCCCAGCCGGTGTGGCTCAGTGGTTGAGCACCGACCCATGCACCAAAATGTCACCAGTTCGATTCTCAGTCAGGGCACATGCCCAGGTTGTGGGCCCGATCCCCAGTGAGGGGCATGCAGGAGGTGGCCAATCAATGTTCTCTCTCATCGATGTTTTTTTCTCTCTCTCTCCCCCTC